GAAATATCACCGCTGCACTTAAAAATCTGCCAATGCACCAGCAGACTGTCAGCATAGAACCCTTACGTATGGGAGCAAGATAAGCTTTGGGGAAAATAAGTAATTTATTTTATGGGTGTTTTGGTTGTGCTTTTTTTCTTCAACAGCTCCACATCACACCTTTTCTAAGTAAGTTACCATGTAGAAATTGCTATTTGATTTTGGATAATAGTGGTTAAAACCAAATCACATAGCTATGAGACATTCTCTGCTCACTAACACTGTTAGAGCAGCCCCCCACCACAGCTCAGGTAGCTCACCTTGTCTGGTGGGACACTGTACAGCTCTGGCACCAGGCGCACCCCGTTCTTCCCCTTGATGAGAATCCCCTCAAGGGCCTCCCGGTACTCTTGCACCTGGGGAGGGAGCAGAGAATATCAGGGCAGGGCTCCCTGTGCCCTTCTTCACCCCCAACCCCTTGCCCAGGACTCATTTCCCCTGGCCTGCTGAGTCCTGCCTCCCTTACCTGCTCCATGTTTCCACTGAAAATCCCATCAATGATCAGGTATGTCCAGAACAAAGGCCACTCACACTCGATGTTCTCAAAGAGCTTCAGCTCTGCAGGTTCATAGTAGGAGCGGTTGGGATCCTGCAGAAAGGCCACAACAACAAGGCAGGTGGTTGCAGGGTTCCCTCAGAATCATGACCACCCCTAAGACCCCCACCTCAAATCCCCTCACTCTGTGGATGCAGGTTAACCAAACAGTGGCAAAGCTCACAAGCACTGGGGAATGTCAGACTGGAGAGCTCTGGAGAGCCCCAGCCACACCTGCTGCCAGTGATTCTCACAGCTGGAGAAGCACAGCAAAGGAGAACCATCCAGGAACACTTTAGCTGATGTGACAGCCAAAGGAGCCCACCAGATCATGGGCCCCAACAGCTGGATATTTAACAGTCCAAGCGCCATTTTCTAGTTTTATCAGGTTATCAAATGCCTGTCACTTATATAATTGTCCTTGTTTTCCCTCCTCAAGCTTAGACTCAAGCATAGCAGTACATAAGCTGTTTGCTGGCCCAGGAGAGATAAAAACAGCCTCGTGCTTCCATGGGGCTCACTGAGATCCACAGGTTGACCTTTGCAGGGTTCCCGTGTGGGGTGGCAGTCCCATTTTCCCCAGCCTCAGAGATATCCAACTTCATCAGCCCCAGGATGCAGGCAGAGCCAGACTGCTTATCTGCTGTGGGCACGGGTGGGATGTGCCACACCTCTGCAATGGGCTGTGGCATTTTGGGCAGCCCTGCCATGATACTGCCTGGAGCTAAGAGCTCTCATCATTGCAGTGCTCCCCAGAACAGCCTTCACACTGCATCCAGGGTGCTAAGAATGTAAGCCACGACAGTCTCTCCTCAGCACCACAGTCATGGCAGGTGGCAGACTGGGAACACTCACCTCTTTGGGGGTCCTGTATCCATCACGGAGGAAGCGGCAGCAGCCGTAGCGCCCCTGGGAGAGAAGGGAAGAGGAGCTGAGCAGGAGGAACAGTGTTAGGTACCTTCTACCTTCATTGTAAAAGTGAATTCTCTGCCCAAGAATCCTCTTTACACGGTCACATAGTGCTCAGGCACTACAATCACAGCCTAGTGTGACAGCATGCAGCACTGCTTCTTTGCACACCCCCAACACAGGTCACATAGACTGGGAGAGAACAGGTCCCAGGACCCCCTCCCCAAGCACATTCTTGGGGAGAAAAGGCTTGCAGGCTTTGAACTGTCTCCCAGAAAGGGTGAAGAGGGCAGAGCTGCTCACCTGCAGCTTTGTAATGATCTCTTGCTTGGTAATTTCCACCAGTTCACTGTCCTCCACAGCAAAGGCTGGGTAGGAGATGACAGAGAGCACGCTGGCATCCACCTCCTTGGATGAGGAGGCCCTCGGCAGCATCGAGTGGAGGATGGACTGAGCAAATGGAAGGAAAGAGGCTTAGGCACCACTATTCACACTGCAACCCCCATCAGACTGCATGCACAGCTCTCACCTGGCAGTGCTGCACCTCATCTGACAGCACCCGAATCACAGATTGTGGGCCTCCCTTTGCTCCAAAGAGATCCAGCTCATCTAGGGCCTCCAGGGCAGCCTGCAAGTAGGGTGAGACTCAGAGCAGCGTGTCCTCTACTTTACTGCCAGTCCATAAGAGCTCTCACACCATGCCAGCCCCACTGACCAGTTTTAAACAAAGAAGAGATGCAAACACACCCCTGCATCCTGCAAAGGCTGCAGAGCACCCATAGCCAAAGAACGACCACATCTCATCCCCACAGCTCACCTTGGCCATGCCGACAGAGCTGGCATTCAACTCAGTGATCCCCCGGTTCGTCTTGTCCCCACGTTCCCATATCCCAAAGTCCTGCAGAGAGGCAGCAGTTTGTGTCATGCCCAAAAACTCATAGAATCTCACCCTTTGGCAGTACTCCCAGTAAGCTTCTGAGGGGTTCTGCCCACTACCTCCACCCTCCAGGCACAATTCTCTTCCCTGGCAAAGGCCTCAAACTACCCACCGCTGTCTTATAGGCTGCTTCGATGTAGAAGACGAGGTTCTGGATGAAGTTGACTTCATCCAGGCTGTGAATTATGTGGAGACCTGAAGCAGCAGGGAAAAATTCATGTTAGTCCTCAGGCATTTCTAGGAAGGGTCTGTAGAAGCCAGTCCCCCTCTTCCTCATACACCCTGTGGTGCCCACATCCTCACTCCCACCCCACCTCGCAAGTACTGTCCCTGCAACAAAGGACACTCAGGAGCAGAGCCACAGATCTGTATAGAGAGCCCCAAAACACCTCAACCCCCTCCATACCACGTGTCTCATTCCCTCGAGATACAGGTTTCCAATGGCATCCTACCTGAGGCTGTCATCTGCGCCAGCATGAGCAGGTAGAGGGAGGTGGCATCCAACTGCAAGTGCCCCCACTCATGGTCTCCCACCACAGTGGCACAGGTGTGGGTGTTGTACTTGGCATGCAGGCAGTCCCGAGTGCTCTGGCTGTACTTGAAGGCCTCCACCTTGTCCACCTGGAGAAGTGGAAAGGGATGCAGGAGCTTGACAAACCCCAAGCCCAGGGATATTTCATGCCACCAGCCCAGCACGCAGAGACGTAGCTGGAAGCAGGACACATCTCACAGCCCCTGCACGCACTGAGACCTCTTGTGTCTCTATAGTGAATGGTTGGAGGGTACACAGCCAGGTTTGCAGCACAGGGAAAGAAAAGGGTCACCCCAAATGCACTCAGGGAGAATAGTCACCGGGCCAGCCAGGCCAGAAAACAGGGAGCAATTGGCACAAGACTTCACTGGCCTCTAGCCCATAGCACTGGAACACTCTCTGGAGGACTGACATCCAGTCAGGGCTTATTAAGTCTTTCTGAAAGGAGGTCACCCCCCAATGAGGGGGGTCATTAAGGAAAGCCGGGGCTGGTGGTCCTGGTGGGCTCTGAGGCATCCCCACTCAGCTCTCCCCTGGCTCCTACCTGTCTCATCATGCACTGGAGCAGCCCCCTCATCAGCTTCACCACGCTCTGCAAGGAAAGGAAAGCAAAACAGCCTCGTTAATCTCCGGATAGCAAAGAGAAGCCCTGACTCAGGACCAGCTGGTCGCTGACCTTTGCAGATCACCGGTGCCTGTAACCAGAGCCTCTGCCAACCGCAGCCCCTCGCTATGCAGGCAAGCAAGGCGGAGAAGAAAGCGCTTATGGCCGTCAGCGGGGAGAGGAGGGAGGAGAGGAGGGAGGAAAGGAGGGAGGAGAGGAGGGAGGAAAGGAGGGAGGAGAGGAGGGAGGAAAGGAGCTCCCGGCCGGCCGTGAGGCCGCATCCCCACGAGCAGCAGAAAAGCGGGCGGCCGGCGCTGCCCCTCGCCTCCAGCAGCCCTGCTCCCCCCACAGCCCCCCCGCCCCACCTGCTCCAGCTCGTAGGCCTTCGCCTTGTCCTCGTCGCGGTCGGCGTTCTTACGGTACGCCAGGCCCAGGCCCCAGACGGCCAGGATGCTGTAGACGTTATCGCGGACCCAGGCATCGCGGTGATCGGCGCTGGCGGGCAGCAGCCCGGTGACGGCGTCCTGCGGACAGCGAGAAGCGGGGGTAGGAGAGGAGCCCCGACCCCGGCACCGCGGCGCCCGGCCCCGCGCGTCGCACCTGGTGCCGGAGGATGGTCTGCTGCACCAGGCGGCCGTAGCCGTCCAGCCGCACGCCCGAGTTGCTGCGACCGCGCATGGCGACGGCGGTGGGAACGGCGGAGCGCGGGGCGGGGACGCGGCGGGATGAGGGCGGAGGGGCGGCCGAGCGAGCCGCCCCGACAGGGTGCTGGAAGATCAACCGCCTCTTCAAAAGGTTTCGCGCCGTTTCGAAGCTCGAACTCTTCTAGAGTCCGGTGTTTGCGGGACGTTTCGAGGAGGTTACCCGCTCGCTCAGCCCCGCAGCTTTTGGGAGGTGGTGGCGGCGGAGCGGCCGCGCAATGCTCACTATGCAGCGGTCAGGACCTGGCGTCTCCGCGGCCGGTGGGCAGCGCCCCCTGGTGGGCGGAGGCCGCGAAGGGCGGACGGGGACAGGGGGCCATATGGGGACATAGGGTGCGATGGAAGGCAGCTCCCGTCTGCGGGCACCGGGGGACGGACGGACACAACGGGCGTGCAGTGACACACCGCCATCCCCCGGGCTGCCCGTGTGACGGGGGAGCACGTCTCCGTTGAACGAGCACTACAGTCCCCAGGACGCCCACCCACCCCAGTATCCCAGCTCCACCACCTTCCACACTCTCCTCCACGCTGCCACCTGGATTCCAGTGACCAGAGCACGGGGACAGGAGGGGAACACGGAGCTCCTTATGTCACAGCAGAAGGAGAGGCGTAGGGGACACAAAAGGATGTGGCTGGGGCTTGGTGCACACCCACAGACCAGCAACGGAACAAAGGAGCCACCGAGGTGGGCTTTAGCAAAATTCAGTCATTTATTAATTATTTATTAATACAGTCAGCAATAAATAGAGGAAAGCCAGGCTGTGGGCCTGGGAAGCACCTCTGGGAACAAGGACAGGTTCAGAGCAGAGCCCAGCCCACATGGAACAGCAGGAGAGGCAACAGGGTGACACTGCCATCCCCACGTCCCACCAGTTTCCATAGCCATCCCAAGGAAAGCCAGGATTGGGGCTGCAACGGGGGGAACCCCCAAAATACACAGGGACAAGATGGCTTGGGGTGCATGGGACTGAGTCCTATGGGTGCAGGTGACAGCATGGAGACACGCTCTCCACCAGCTTCATGCTCCAGCCCCCAAGTAGACAGCAGTGCGGGACAGAGGGATGCTAAGGGCAGGCTCCCACCTTTAAAATCCTACGTATTTTTCTATATAAGTTTTCCATAAAACTGTAAAACTTTCCCTCAGAGCATTGCACCAGAGTGGAGACAAACCCCTCCCCATCAAAAAAAAAAAACAAAAACCACCAAAAACCACCCCACCAAGCATCAAAATATATCCAAAAAGAATCCAGCTCCGGGCACAGGTTACCGACAGGTGCAGGACTCTGCGATCATGTTCTCATACTCCTTGTAGAGGATGCTGCCATCATGCTGGATCATCAGGACGCTGATGGGGCTGTAGCGGTAGGGGACGCAGGAGGGTCGGGGGACGCTGGCATCCACCAGCTGGTGGACCAAGTTCTGCACCACGGCATGGTTGGGCGCATGGTAGCCATTGCGGAGGAGCCGTGGGCACACTCCTTTACAGTAACGTGGGTTGTAGCGATGGGGAGCGATGATCCAATGGTCCCAACCCAACTGGGCAAAGCTGACAGGGAAGGAGCGCAGGGAGCAATCGCTTTTGTCCCCTCCAGCATCCTGCAGGTTGCTGGGCAGGTCGTGGAGAAGCGTCCCTGCTTCACGCCGGCTGCGCCGAGGCTCCGGTAGCGTCCCGCTGCGGGTGTCATTGAGGAAGAGGAGGAGGAAAGGGTCTGCAGGGGATGCTGGGTTGGCTGCGGTGGCTCGGCCGGCTCGCACGCAGATGTGCCGCAGGGTCAGCGTCCCTCCTGAGCTGCTATTTGCTGGGGATAAATAGGGGGTGATGTCTGCTTCGGTCCAGCCGTGGAGGGATGGGGCGGTGGAGCTGAGCAGGACCGCCGGGGCTTTGGCAGCAGGCAGCAGCTCCACGGCACACAGGAGGCGGCCGCGGGGCAGTGGCAGGCTCTGAGGGTAGGCCACGGTGACACGGAGAAGGTGCTCAGCTTCAGGCTGGGCTCCCAGGTGGTAGGTGAGGGGCTGCATGTACCAGCGACCTGCAGAGGAAAGCAGCTGTCAGCTCCCTTCTGGGGCAGCCAGGCTTGGAGCATCGCCTTGTCCCACCTCACTGTGCAGAATGGGTGTTGGGGCCCTTGGCAAAGAAAGCTGGGAGGGGTTCCATCTCCTGTGCCAGCACTGCAGTGGGAGTGGAGAGCCAGCAGTGCTCGCAGCACGAGTACCAAGTGATGCCCTTGTTCTTGTTGTCCCCAAGACAGTGTCTCCAATTAAGGAGAGATCCCATGACCAAATGCTCCACAGACAAGGACCCAAGCAGAAACAGTGTCCCCAAACCAAAGGGGACCCCATTGCCAAGTGTTCCACGAGGCACAGAGAGGACCACACAGAACATCTCCAAGCCATAGAGGGGATCCCAGCACTGCTTCAAAAGGGCGCAGTGAGGACATAAGCAGAGACAGCACCACCAAGCCAAGGGGAAACTATTCACAGGACATCAGGAGGACCCAAGGAACGACAGAACAATGTCTTCAAGCCAAGTGTGACCCCATGACCAAGTGCCATCACACAGGGCACATCACAGACCCAAGAAGCAGCACTATCCCCAAGCCAAGGGTGAATCTCACAACCAAGCGCTGCCCCACCAGGGCACAGCACAGACCCAAGCAGAGACTCCAGGACTCAAAACAACCCCACCAGCTCCACACACCACATCACCCATTGCCACCACCTTACCTGCCCAGGGTTGTCCCCCACGGGAAGCCGCCTGCACCAGGCGCACGGTGTTGGTGCTCAGACTGCGGCCACGCCGGGGCCGCCCCTCATGGTCAGCAGCACGCCGGTACAGCTCCAGCATGTAGCGCAGGGGCTGCCCATTGGCAGCCCCCCCCTTCCAGCCCTGGCTACCCGGCGCTTGTGCCCGCAGAGCTTGCAAGAGGGGCAAGGGTGGGGTCTGGCTCGCAGCCCAGGAAAGCAGCACGGTGAGGAAGAGGAGGGCGGTGAAGGGCCGGAGCAAAGCCATAGTGGGTGATAGGGGGTGAGGTGACAGCAGAATTAGGGGAGCACTGCGCTCATACTTCATGTGTTCCCCCCAGAGGTAAAGCAGAAAGAGGTCCCAGGGTGCTGTCACGCTACAGCACCCATGCCAGAGGATTCAGCTCAGCACAAAGAGAAAAGGGATGAAGGGGGAGGGCTCTGCAAAAAGAGTGCAATATCAGGGCTAAAACCCAAATCCCCCAAAGCAGGGGGCAAAGCCAGCTGGACAAAAACCTGGCAATGGGAGGGGAGCTTAAAAGTGCAGGGGTGGGGAAGGGGTGCAGTGGGGTGGTGGGAGGACCAGCTTGCTCAGCCCACCTGCTCCTCACCGGCCTGGTCCAGCAGGGTAAGAGGGCTGGGGCCCATGGGACTTTTTAAAGGCATGGTCCTAATTAGGGCTTAAAGGGGCAGGAGCCCCCTGAGAACCACATCTAAGTTCTCCCTCCTCAGTGCCAGCTCTCTGAGGGGTCAGGCTGGAGGAGGTGGGTGGGCTCAGCACAGTTCTGCCCAGCCTGGGGGGCTCATAGGGGCTGTGTGCCTCAGTTTCCCCTGCTGGGAGGTGGGGTGACGTCCCTGAGCCCAGGGGTGGTGGCACATAGGTGGATATAGGGACCCAGAACCCAGCAGCACAGAGCACAGCCAGGTGGTACCTGCGCTGTCACCAGGCTCAGCTGTGTCACCTGCGGGGTCACCTGAGGCACAGCCTTATGGGGGACACCACCCCAAGCCCAGTGACACTCATGCCATCCTGGTAGGACATATTGCCCAAAAGTGGGCTCCACGTGGTGGGACGGAGAGGGCAAGGAGGGATACAGGATGGGGGCTGCCAGCAGTGGCACACAGGGACAGTGGGGACATCTGGGTGGGTGGGGTGTCCCAAATCCCATTGGCGTAGGGACAGCTCGGCGCTGCTGCAGCAGCCGTTCTGGCAAAGAGGCAATGAGTCAGAGCTGCCGGGGGGACGTGGGGTGACGTCCCGGGGGACAGGGCGGGGGCCAGACGGCGTTGCGTCACCCGTCCCCTCCCAGGCGTGGTAACGGGTGACACTGGGTGGGACGCGGCGGGTTGAGCCCCTCGGTGTCCAGCACAGGCTGCGAGCTGAGCCGTGCCAAGGCAAACTGTGCTGAGCCGTGCCAAGTCCAGCGCGCCAAGCTTGCTTGCGCGCTGCGCCAAACTGCGCTCAGCCGTGCCAAACTGTGCCACGCGGGGCTGAACCGTGCCACGGAGGGCTAAGCTGTGCCACGTTGTGCCAAACCAAATTGTGCCAATCGCGATGTGCCTTGTGTATGTCCGAGCCGTGCCGTGCCAGCCCTCCTTGTTCTAGCGGGACGCTCCGGGTCGCACCGCTCCTATCCCAGCGCAGCGTACGGCTCCGAGCCGTGCCGAGCCGTGCCGGGCGGGGCTGGCTGCGCTCCGCCCCAGCCAGGCGGGCGGGGGGGTGGGGGGTGTCATTTCCTTCGCCGTGCCGAGCCGTGCCGAGCCGTGCCGGGATGGGGCGGTAGCGGCCATGGAGCGGGCCGAGGGCCGGCCCGGGGCCGTGCAGTTGGTGCATGTGCAGCTTCAGGGCGGCGCGCCCTGGGGCTTCACGCTGCGGGGGGGGCTGGAGCACGGCGAGCCCCTCATCGTCTCCAAGGTAAGATCGGTGGTCCCGTCTCCCCCCCCCTTCCCCTACAACTCCCTTTCCCCGCTTCCCAGGGCTCCCCCCGGGGGCAGGGAGGGCGGAGCGCAGGGAGCGGGAGGAAATTCCTCCGGCACATCCGTTGGGCTGGCGGGGGGGCGGCCGCCCCCGCACCCCTCCACCCCAAGGAAGGCGATGCCGGGACGGGGGGGCACCCGTGTCCCCGCTATGCTGCCTCCATATCCTCGAGATGGGACTTTGGGGGAAGTTGGGGTCCCTCCGACCCCGCTCCTGGCCCATCCGCCAAGGGTCCGCGCTGGAGATCGGGGTTTGTCGCGGGGGCGGTGGCAGCTGCGCTCCCCTTCTCCTGACCCCCCCACCCTGCAATTGTCCCTCGCTCTGTTGCTGTCCCCGCTTTTTTGGGATCGGTTGGCATTGCCCCCGCGGGAGTCGTGCAGCACCCATGGGACACCCCAAATGCATGGCAGGGGGTCAGCCCCGTCCCCTTCGCTCGTGCCCCCCCAGTTTGTCCCTCCCAATGTACCCAGGGCCATCCCGCCCCCCTGCAGCGTGGTCTGGCCGGGGGAGCTGGAAAAGTGGCTCCTGTCCCTGCCCTGTGCCCCAGGGGTGTCACCCCGGGGCTGAGAGCCACTGTGCCCCGAGTCTGGGATGGGGACCGCGGGGACGCGTCCTGCCACTGCGGGAATCGAGAGGGGGGGTCCTCGCCGTGCCGGCCCCCGCCACCGCCGCGTGTGCAGTGCAGACAAAGGGGGCTTGTTCCAGCGCTCTGTGCATTCAGTGAGGGTCCCCCGGGGCGCCCGCAGCCGGCCGAGGGGCGTGCGTGCCGGCAGAATGGGGGGCCCCGGGCCCCCATGCTGGAGGAAGGATGGAGGGGGTCCCGCTGTGTGGGTCCTGTCCTGCGGTGGGCTCGGCGTGGCTTCCAGCAGGTATTCACACCGGCCAACTTGGTGCCACCATTAGGGACCAGAGTGAACGCTGCGGTTCGGCTGCCCGGCTGCGCGAGCGCTGCGCTGCCTGTTGGTCCCCCAGCTCTGCCCCTGGGGGTGCCGGGGAGCGGCGGGGGGCCCCCGGCAGTGGGGCTGGCAGCCACCCAGGCGGGTGCTGAGGGCGCTGTGCGCAGAGCCCGTTCCTCTGCCGGGCAGGGTGGGGAGCCCGCAGGCAGGGTGGGCGGCTGGCAGTGGCGTGTCACCCCATAGGTGGCTTTGGGGTCCCCGTGGAGCCCTCCAGGAAAGGGTGCAGAGTCCCGTGCTGGCTGTTTTCCCCTTAAGCCAGCAGGCGGGCAGCAGAGCAGCATCCTTACTGAGCTGGAAATGAAGCCCCTATGGGTGACGGGCACAAAGAGCCCTTGTGCTGCCCGCGCCCGCAGGGGAATCTGCTGGGACGGGACATTTTTCTTCCCCCTCCTCCTTTCCCTCTGCCCTTTCTTAGCTCAGAATTTCATGTGACTGGGGCGGACACCGCGGATCCCTTGCATTCACAGCATGGTGCTCGGGCTGAAGGCACCATCGGGGTGTGGGGGGCGGCTTTTGGGATGGTGCTGCCCTGATGCCTGTCTCTCACCCAGGTGGAGGATGGGGGGAAGGCAGCACTGTCCCGGAGGCTGCAGCCCGGCGATGAGCTGGTGAACATCAGCGGGACCCCCCTGTACGGCTCCCGCCAGGAAGCCCTCATCCTCATCAAGGGCTCTTACCGCACCCTCAAGATGATCGTCCGCAGGTTGGCACAGGGATTGGGAGGGGGATCTGGGTGTGGGGTCACCCCTAGCATCACTCCTGGTCCCTCAGTGGGGTGGGCAGATCCCAGCCTGGTGTCCCTTGCTCACCGCCCCCTCTCTGGGCGGTATCTCCGAGCTCTCCCTTCCTGCTTGCCTGGGGAAGGAAGGAGAGGCAGTGCCGGCCCCCCCAGCCCCCCCTGCAGCCATTCTGCCGGCTGCTCCCAGCCGGGCTGCAATGCTGGGGGGCACAGAGGGTCCTGGGTCGTGCCGCCACTGGGGCGCAGCCTCATCCATGGTGAGTTTGAGGGTGCCAAGGGGTGGGGTAAGGGACCCCCGTGCCCTCCCCTCAGAACCCATTCCCTTCATGCCAAGCCCTGGGGATGGGACAGCCCTATGGATGCTGGGGTTGGCAGATGGCATTTGTGGGGTGCAGGGAGTGGCATCACCCCTTCTATCCATATGGGAACACTTAGGAGGGACTGGGATGAGGGGCACAGAGGTGTCCCCGTTGTCCCTTCAACAGGGTCCAGCAGCTGAAGCCAAGAGGGTTGAGCTTGTTCTGGGTTGGGAGGAGAATGCTCAGCCGTGCCCTGTGCCAGAACCCTGTGTGCCATACCTGGGACCCCTGTGGTCCCCCCCATCAGTGCTGTCCCCCTTAGATGGGCGCTGGCCTGGGGGTGGGGGGGTGGGCAGGAAACCCCATAGGAAGTGACTTCAGCCCCGGTTCCTCGGCCCGGCTTCCTCCCCATTCTTGTCCTCTCCCGCTGTTGCTCTTGGCAAGGAGGAGCGTGCCCGTCCTCCGGCCCCATTCCTGGCACATGGCCAAGCTCGCCGAAATCCGCCCCGACGCCCCGGCCATGCACTGCCCCCCCGATGCCTTCAGCCTCTCCTGGCCCTCGGGTTGTGATGTCAGGTGAGAAAACATGGAGGGGTCCCGACTAGGGGGAGAATGGGGAGGGGGTCCCCAGGCTGCCCCACACTGTGGGTTCGCCACTGCCCTGTTTACTGCTGGCAGGAAGGGGTGGTGGCTGTGCCGGAGGCAGCCAGGAGGTGACGAGTCCCGGTGCCACGCATTCCCCATGTCCCCTGGGCAGCTGTTGTGCTGACCTGAATCTGGGGGTTGTGTGCTCCCTTTCGGGGACACTGACGGCACTGTGACGCTGCCGGCAGCGAGCTGTCCCTGCAGTGGAACCCGCTGTCCCGGCACTGCAGCACGGACCGGAGCAGCTCCATCGGGAGCATGGAGAGCCTGGATCAGCCCGGCCACGCTTACTACGAGGGCACCCCGTCACCTGTTGAGCACCACAACAAGCGGGACTCAGCCTACAGCTCCTTCTCAGCCAGCTCCAACACCTCAGACTGCGCCTTATCCCTGCGCCCTGAGGACGCCGCCGGCCCTGAGGGTCCCTGCAAGCCCCCAGACCCACGCTACCTGCAGACAGGTGCTGAAGGAGCAGAAACGCGGCACGCCGCTCGGCACTCCGTGCCCCCGCAGCCCCCGGTGCGCAGGGACAGCCTGCGGGCATCCCCAGCCAGCAGCACGGACCGCCGCCGCGTGTCGGTGCCCGCCGCCCCTCTGCACGCCCAGGGGAGGTGGATCTCCGACACTTTCCTGTGCCAGCGGGACAAGGACGGCGAGGGGAGCAGTGGGAGGATGCCGACAACGTGTCCCCCCAGGGAGCACCTCTCCGCCGATCAGTACTACATGCTGAGCTCCCACCCTGACCGTTGCGCTGGGGACGGCGGGGATCGGTCCTACCCGGAGAGCAGCACGCACCGTGTGCCGGATGCAGGGATGGACACAGCGGGGGACACGGTGCTGCTGTCCCCTCTGCAAGGCCATCGTCACAGCGCGCCCGAGCAGCTGCTTGCCTCCCAGCTCCGCGCCCTCCATGTGAGCACCGGCAGCGGGCGGGCATCGCCTGCGTCCCCAGCACCTGATAACCACCGCTGGACCACATCCCCGCTGCACGCCGAGCCCCGCGGGCCAGGCGGGCTCAGCCCCGC